TGTATTTATTAGTCTAACTCATTCTGTGTCCCTGGTTAGACAGGTGGAACAATCATGTAGATCCACTGCAAAATATATTAGCAAAGTCAGTTAAGTTTGACTAAAATAAAAATAAAACAATAGTATGAGACATCCTATTTCTACGTTTAGTATTTACTGAAAAAACAGCTCTTTATAAAACAAGACAGAAACCAGCACGAGTCATCCTAAATGACCAAACCTGTGTATTCACAGGAAATCCATGTGATCCCTCTTTCTACTTCAGCATTCAAAGTAAGTTAACTTGTCTGTTACCTCATTTTTCAATAAAGAAATAAGACAAATTGCAGTTTTACTGATGAATAAGGTGGAATTTCATACGCACTGAAGGAAATACACACATACTGACTATTCCACCACTTTCCCATTTCAAAGGAATATCGACTATACTAGCAAGAAATAGCTTGTGACCTCTTATACATGTAATCAAAATACAAATGGACTTCGAATCTCCTTCACTAAAAGGAACCAGCTGTGAATCCTTCTAATGTATTGTAGACTCAATAAATTCATTATTGGCAGTAAACGGATAAAACTTGTAGTAAAATTTCTCATTAGATGAAACTAATTCTAGTGAAAAGTCGGTAATGAGTACAATTGCATTTTACAAAACAAATTGGAAGATTCATGTGAATTCAGATAACCTTTCTGCATCCAGTCGTTCTATATCTATGACGCTTAGCACTTCATAAATGAAAAATACTTCGTAGGTGAATTCTTGAACATAGAAAACTCAATTAGTTATTGTTACTTTCTTTTCAAACTAGCATTATATGTAGATGACATTTTAGAATTATTATTAATATCATCATCACGAACTATAGACGTGGTGACGGCTGTCGACATCCTCATTTATGGTGCATATATCTTCAGCAATCTGTAGTGTGCATGAAGGCATTTGAACTCACTGTTTTCACCGTTTTGGAATATGATTACCGGCAATGAAACTGCATTGTAGTTGGTTCTGAAGCTGATCTTCGACGTTATATTATGAATCTTTTATCTGTGGAGAATGAAATGTTGAGTATTTTGACTAAAAATAAGTGTGAGTTCTTCAAACACAACCCATTATATTGTCACAAAAGAGGTGACACAAAAGTTATTAAGAGCTGATTTGTAAAAATATGAGTGATTTGAGAATTGATCAGGATTTGACATCAGCTACAGAATCGTCAGAGTCTTAGTAATAATTCGTGATCTGTGAGGTCACCAGCTAGGGTATAAAAACCAATACCCTCTGATGACATTGTCTGACAGTGACGCTATGTATCAGAAATTCACAGGGGTTAGAATTCATAGGCAGTAAGATTCTGCCTCACTGAGTGAAAGATCAATAGGCTTGTCTTGTAATCTGAAGGTCTTGGGTTCGACACCTACCAAACCGACACCTACACTTTCAAACGCCAAAGTGTGATCCGCTAGACCACTAGACCTCGGTGAGAACTGGGGGGAATAACGTACACCCAGTGGCGAGTTGCAAATATGACGAAATGAGCGTCCTTGATTCCACTGCTAGTCACCATCAACCAATTGACTTCATAACAGTATTTCTGACTGAATCTAAAAAACCAATCGATGTGTTCTTCTATTTATCTTTCCATACTCCTGCAGGTCACTCACAGTCAAAGATTATATCCCAAAAACATAAAAAACTTTTCAGCTTGATAGGATGTGTGGTACTATTCAAAATAATAACTTGTATCGAAAATACAAAACAACCTCAACTATACCATCCGGCAGCTATTCCATCCAAAAATTTCTCAGGCACGAAATTCGTACTGTTCAATAAATTTGACTGAGTAAAAATAATTTCGAAATAAGTGGGAATCAATAAGTATATTCTCATTGAGGTGGGATCAAAACTATGTCTGTGAGAATCGAACAGAACAAAACACATTTCGCACAGTCAGTCCAAGGTCAAGCAGTCACCCTGCAGCGTAGCCTTGACTTCAATAAAACAGAATTACATCACATAACAGCAAAGAAAAGCGTTAAAATTAGAGATCAACTAGAAATAAGGGAAGACAATACGAATTAAGTCAAAAGAAGATATGCAAGTGTTAGAACAACAATATACGGATTAGAGGAATCGGGTAACAATTTAAAAATTAATCGGATTATTCAAATAAGTGGGAATTTTGTGAATAGATTTTTCATGGAGAGATTTCCAGATTAACTATTTTGCTAAGTTCGATGGCCTGCTTAAAACCAGGCAACCGAAAACTTCCATTTCGCTATTGCATATATTTTATCTCGTTCAGTTTGTTTTAATCGATTAAGATTTGACCTCTAACTGTATTATCTACTCTTGTGTGTATTTAAAATGTTTACAAACTCCTGATTCGCAAGTTCCTACCAAACTTAAGAAAACCCCTGACTGTGGTTGGCGAAGTGTTTCAATACATGAGATAACTGTTCTTTAGTGAAGTCCTTTGGTCTCAAAATGTACTTCTAAACATCTTACAATTGGCTTTCAACTGGATATCGTGGATTTCTTGAAAAAGACAACGCAGATATATCACATAATGGAATGGTTTGTGCTTCAGCTCAGAGGCCATTGTGTCACAGGATACACTGTCAATTAATATTTTACTTGAAGACACGTTCACGAAGGGGAAAATATCATGCAATAAATTGCTCTGCAATGAGGATGTTGGCGTTCAGTTATGAGTCGAAAACCAATGGTTTGTGAATATTTCCCCTCACTCCTAGTGTTCTCAGTGGAATGAAGGACTTCATACCTTTCAGCCTTCAGTAGCGGTGGTGTTGTTTTGTTTTTTACGCAGTGGGGTTGCTGCACTCATACCTAACGCCCCCCTCTTTTTCAGGCCTGCTATCGATTAGGCAAGGTTAACGAGCGTGCCCGTCGGGAAACCAACTGGGGTCACATGTGAGGTTGGCGAGCATTATGACACTAAATCACACCAGCGCCACCAAAGTATTGTGAACTTTGGCAGATGTTAATTAACACTTTAATACCACTGTGATCTGAAGCACTTAATGAATATCCATCGTCATACCTAAATGAAGGTAAAATTCGCCACTACATAGAAAAGATTCGTATTCAAGTGTTTTCTGCTGGGATTTGATTGGTTTCATGGTTTTATTATGAATTGACATCGGTTAGAGGACCATTGAAGACCATCTAGAAGTGTTGGATAGCTGTTTCGTTCTTCTTTGGGACTCTTCATTTGTACGCACTCACACTGCGAGGTTAGAGCCCAGAACCTTTTGGTTGCAAGGCGAGCTCGTAGACCATTAGGCCAGTGGGACTCGATCCAGTGGACCATAAATTTCAACTTCTGCACATTCATGATATGGCACGACCACTAGCGAATGTGGTTTTCCCATATTTCTCTAACCAATGTCATCTCATGATGAAATCTTGAAACTAATCAAATCCCCGCAAAACAACAAATGAATATTTCGATTTTCGCTTAAAAATGTTGTGACGTTTACGGAATAGTAGTTAAAAGCTAGTAGACGATTCTTCTTCTCTGGAATACCTCTGTAACTATTATTTTGCCAGTACATTAGTCGCGGGCTTGTTACCAGAGAACTGATCTGTTTCTACGACTTAGTTGAAATCCGTCAGTCAATATGTGTGATATCGTCAATGAGTTAAGCAACATAATAATAGTATTCATTGTGTTTAACGGAAACTGGGTATTAGACACGAGGAGTGGGTCTGCTGCCTCCTGACTCCTTATATCTCGTGGTAGCATATGCAGAGAATATATATCAGATGACAGGGGTGCTATATTGTGAGTCATCCGAGCCCGATACCAAATAGCACTGTCATCCAAACAGATGACGTTCATATACTTTCTTTTTGTGTCTCTAATTTTATCATGGCTATAAAATACCTCTATATCTCCTTCAGTATTACGAAAGATTATAGACATGAGTGATAAGACATGATTGTGTTTAGAGTACTAAGTGTCACTCAAGCTGATAGGCGAAAACAAAGCTGCCAACGATTACTGTTCAGCTATTTTGCTGTCTTTTAGTTGATAGTAACCAGCAGTAGAATCACGGATGTCCTTTATGGGAATTACTGAATGGATATGTCCGCATCCTCGATGAATGGTGTCCCCAATGAGATTCCAACTCACCACCCATTTCTTCAAATACTGCAATGCCGTCCTCTAGACCACTTGTGCAACGGGTGAAAGTTATTTTTTGTTTTTGGGTTAATTCACATTTCCCGTTGATTGATTATGTTGAACTGAGAGAGAGGAGCTGATGGGTCCCAAATAGGACGAAATGGACACGCCTAATTCCATTGTTAACCACCGTCAATCGAAATAACATCACATCAATCTCCGGACATCGTTGAAGTCTTCTTACCGGGATCCAACATAGTAACAAAGACCGGTCATCTCTATTCAACGCAATACACGGGAAATGTGAGTGGACCTAAAGATAAAGGGTTCACCATTTATATGTTGAGATATCGATCACGATTTATTTGACTATTGAAACTGTCTTGCAGTTTAACGTAGTATTTTTTTTCAAAAAACCATGGTGAGACCGGAAACTATATTAATTTATTATGTGAATAGTAAATAATGAATATTCACATGTTTATGGATAACAAATTTTTAAATTTATTTTACACTAAATGACCTTGAAAATCTGGCCTCACAATTGGCCGAAATCCCAACGACAAAATGGCCCAATAATATGCAAAGCTGAGATATAGATGGCCACATTATTTGTATGATTCATTTTGTATTTAATTTCCTATGCTAAATTGTTAACTCTCTTGTGTGTTGAGGAAATATTTTTACATATTAATTAATTAATTTATCCTAATATCATATAAATAGATGCATTTATGAATTACCAAAATAAATCTTGTTATCAGTACATATTTATCAGTTGATAAGTAAAATAAAAACAGATTAACATATGATTAAATAAGTGAACTCAGTCGACAATTCAATTTTATATTGAACATGATTATAAATTACACATTGAACATTGATAAATTCTGTTATCTCATAGTCTTGACACTTTGTGTCTTTAACATTATTCAACCAATTATTAGTGAACAAGGTAAGCATAGTTAATGATAAAATACCTATTTTTTCCTAATTGTTTAAATATATCATTGTGCATATTGAAACAAAAGCTGTTTCATAACCTTCAATGTCATCGATGTATCTTATTTACGTGTTGATTTAAACAATTTCAAGTGTTCAATTGCAAAGGCATTTAAGAATGTATTCTTCTAATATTGTTAAAGGTTATAAAACAACCTCTATTCTTCAGTGCTTTATATTTTGCGAATATTCAAGTTGTCATGTAGTCGTAATTTAAATTGAGGGACTTAGATTCTGAAATATCCTGTCTGCCATGAAGCAGACACCTCTAATTCTACTGGTTAGCTGACAAATCAATCTTGATTTACTGATTATAGTTTGTGCTGCGTAGGTACGCTCAAAAAATAGTCACCATTTTTGATAGTATCCATATGTGCACTTATAAACTAGAGGCCAGTGAACAAACAAGTGAACGAATTAGTAAGTTTCTATATTGTCAAATAAATGCTGGTGTAATGGAACACACGCTAGTATTTTTAGTAACAGAGGTGTTTATTCAGCGAAATACACCAACCTTAAACTGAAGTCTCATTGGTATCCTGCTTCTTTTGTTTTCCTTTCATACTTTCTTTATTGTTTCACAAGAATATTTCGTTCCTTTTCTTGAAAACGCATTATACCACTTCGCTATTCAATGCTGTTGCAAAAGACATCACAGACAACATGTGATACTTACAAAACTTTGTCAATAGCACACGGCAAACTGGTAGATAGGGAAACTAAAACTAGCATAAGTTTAAATTTTACAAATCACACAGTGTTGTACAGTAATATTAACTGATGACCACGATTCGAGCACAATTTATTGCTGCTCATAATCATATGAAGTCACTCACACAGCTTTCTTGCTTCATTTATGTACATGAGTGAAATCGATTAGACATTTGAATAAAATCAATATAAGATTATGTACATTCAGAAATAATAATATGAGTGTTATTGATCAAATACAGTCGGATGGGAAATAAGATGTTTTTGTGGTAAATAAAATTAACTTGTTAGAATGTTATGTGAATTGAATACATTTTAACATTATCTATTATTCTCTGATTTGAGTGGTAATAATATCTTCAATATCTCCGGTATTCGCATTGAGTCACTTCTGTTGCATGTATTGGGTGTAGACTCGATGAACAAGGATTCAGTAATCAACCTCTGTCTCCACCTATCTACATTACTTTTTAGAATTTTAACCCTCTCCAACCCTATTGTGTGGTTGTGTGTTTATGCATGCAGTGCAATTGCTGAGATTCTTTCCAAATTACTTATCATCGTGGGATCAGTCATTCTAACCTTAGCTAAATTCTTATATTCTGATAATCTCACTACACCTGATCTACTAGTTTGACCTGTAGAAGATACTATTACCATTCAAATGACATCTTATTTCCCATCCGACTGTATTTGATCAATAACACTCATATTATTATTTCTGAATGTACATAATCTTATATTGATTTTATTCAAATGTCTAATCGATTTCACTCATGTACATAAATGAAGCAAGAAAGCTGTGTGAGTGACTTCATATGATTATGAGCAGCAATAAATTGTGCTCAAAACGTGGTCATCAGTTAATATTACTGTACAACACTGTGTGATTTATCAAAAGAAAATCTCATCCATAAGAATACTAATAATACTAATCCGTATTTTAGATAATGACGTGTAAAACCACAGCAGATTCTTGATGAATAAAAAAGACTAATTCCATCCAATTTTAATTTGCTAGTGAAGTCGTAAAATGAATTTGTCTGTTATCTGCCAAAAACTGGGTGCCCATTTTACCAGAATTTATAAGAATACTACAGAAATCGATCATACAACTTTATTTGTTTAGACAATTAATGTGTCGCATATCTAGTTCTAGTAACAATAATTGCAGTTATAATAAAAGCGTAAATCTATGAATTGGGTGATCTGAATTTCATACCGTAGGTATAATGTTATCTTTATCTCTCTACACGTATAAGTATTTTTAAAAGTTTATAAAATACCGGTACTAATAAAATAAAATATCAGTTATTCACCGTCTTATTAAACAACTGGAAAATTACTGGGTAAAGATGAACCGAGACTGCTCTATTTATTAAGGATTTCAGTTATGTAATGTGTATTAAGGTAACGAATGACAAAAGTTCCATCGCTGGCGTAACAGAGTAATTGCTCTGAGAATCCCTCTATCAAAGGTCTGTCTACAATATTCGTACCCTTTGGATACATCTCAACTGATTTTGTAATTATTGCCCTTTTCTCCGGACCTGTTCCTCATCGTTCTAATATTGACATATCTTCTTTCTAATTAATCTGTATTATTCGTCTTTGCTTTTCCATGATCCTTATATTTAATGCTTCTTTGTTGCTGTTGTCTGATGTGTTGTTTTACTACTGCAATTTCACTTGATTGAAGTCAAGGCTACGCTGCAGAGTGACTGCTTGACCTTGGACTGACTGTGCGAAATGTGTGAGTTCTGTTTGATTCTCTGAGACAGAGTTTCGATCTCGCCTCGTTGAGAATATACTTGTTGTTTCTCAAATAATTTAGGATTAAGATGAGTCAATTAACTTTGTTATACGAGTTGATCACGGATTGATATCAGTTAGAGAAGCACTGAAAACCAGGGAATACTGGACAGCTGCTGTTTCATCCTAGTTTGGGAATCATCAGAAGTACGCACCCACTGGGATTCGAACTCAGGGCCTCCCGGTTACAAGGCAAGCTCGTATACCATTCAGCCACTGGGACCCGATTCAATGGCTTGTGAATTCTAACTTCTAGCAATTCGTTACATAATACATTATTTGTAACTGATAAACGTTTGGTCCATAAAGCTGCCTGACGGCATTATTGAGATTATTTCATATTTTTATACTAGTTATTCCTGTTCGATAGTATCATAGACTTTATGACATCGAAATGCGTTTTTCGAAACTGTTGAGTTTAGTGTTTTGACTTTGTGTAACTCCTGGAAGTTCGGTTATCTGTGCGGAAGGACACATCAGTTGATTTCCTGTATTCAAACTTACACGTTTCGCTTTTGGTCACTAAAAATTATCCCCTAATTATCCATTTTTCAATTTATATTATTGATTGAAAGTCACACCTGATATCTGTACCACATGATGTAACTTTTGTGGATCAGTAACCTAGTGGATAACGTTATGATGTATTCAAAAAAATGGGTGTTGAGTTATAGTTTCGGTTTCAACACGATTACTGTCTGAGCTTTATGTACATCCATCTAACGCGTCTCAAACAGGACGAAATGCGCGTCTTGAATATTACTGCTAGATACGATCCCCCAAATAAAGGGTTATTGTTCATAGTCATACGCAGTTTGATTGAAATTATTTACAAGTGAGTGGAGTAAAATTAAATGTTGTACTAAAAAAGAATACTTTGAGACAAACAGTTCAATTTTTCTGGATAACATGGGGATTATTTTCGGTATGTGGGTAAAAATTATTGGCAGTAAAGAGCATAAGTAATATAATAATAATATATAAGTAGGATGACGAAAATAACATAGAATTCAAATCCTCTATATTACTACCGTACAAAGAATGAACGTCAGAAACCTTGCGTAAAATTCTCAATGACGTTGTAATTAGGGTGACATTTAAACTAAACAGCTACCTCAGAGATAAACTTTGTCGGCTTAAGGACTCTCCTGATAGGCTCAATTAAGAAAGGAATATAATTTATCAAATACCATGTAATGACTATGGGGTTAATTACATTGATCAAACTAGTAGATCTGGGTCAACCAGATTATTGGAACATAAAAATTTAGCTAGAATGATTAATCCTGCTAAGTTAAATAATCTCGAAAAAGGCTCAGATATTGCATTGCATTCACTTTCATGTAATCACAATAACAGGGTGGCTTGAGGCGGGAGTATTAAAAAGTAATGTAGTTAGATTGAGAGAGAGAGAGAAGTAAATTATTGATGCTTTGTTTAACGATTTAACATCTCACACGTGAGGCCGGAATGGCACAATGCTTATACCGGAGATATGGAAAGTGGCGTCGGTGGCACAGTGGTTAGGACTCTCGCCGACTATGCACATGGTCCAAGGTTCGATCCCCTGCCGACGCAAACCTGATATCTATGGTCGGCCTGCAAAATTTGGGCTACCGATATCCATGCTGAAAATATTCCATAGTTGTACCAAAAATACAGAGTGGAATCAAGCTGTCATAAAAAAGAGCGGGTGCCTGCTGATGAGGAGTCCCAAACCAGGACAAAACAGCTGTGCAGTAGTCCCTGGTTTTCCAATGGTGCTTCAAGTGATGTCAGTTCATGATGAAACCCTCTAACCAATCAAACAATAATCCCTGCAAAAACCAATACTTGAAAAATATATAAGACAAACTGTGAAATCGTGTTACTAGACTGATATGATTATGAGCAGCGATAATTTATGCTCAAAACGTCAACCACTTGTTAATACTGTATCGCTGTGTGATATTGAAAACAAACTTATCTAATATGGAATTACATTCTACCACAGTGACCAGGTTCTATACTTACATTAATATAGCTTCTCATTGTAAGATACTATTTCTCTACTTTATTTTATTGTCGCTTTTTATTATCTACATTCCCGTATACTCCTCACTATTTTTATGCTGTATTGCTTCACTTTATTACACACTTCAGCAGTAATCATTTCATCTCTCAGTAAAACATGATGCCTGGAGTTGTTCAACTAACTATCTTGATAGTTAATTTAAAGGATTCATCGTTTCTATACATATTTTACTAAATGTCTGTAAAGTGGATATATTCTTTTCTTATGAATATTAGTATATTAACGTTCTCTGAGCTGTAAATGGTTTAATTGCCAGGCTTTTATTACTTTTCTAGACAATATTATAAGAAAGTGAGAGAAAGAGACAGCAGACAACTAAAACAGTATTGCTTATCTAAGCCTAAAATCTTCCCCAT